AAAGCTTTGAAAGTGAAAGTGCCATATTGTTTTATCGACCTCTAAGTGTTAGGTAGCAGGAACTTCTATAAGAGATGGATGATGATAATTAAAACCTGAAGATTAAGAAATAATTTAGAACATCACTAAGAATATGGTTAGGTCATAGGTGGTACCCTATGAATTTTCTGCCAGATTGCCTAGCATAAAATTTTCTAGAGGCAAGGAGATGGGATGGTTTCTTGGCAGGCGGGCTTTTCTGTCCTTATAGATCTAAGGCTAGGATTGGAACTCTACAGGACATATTGTAGTTTTATTCTCAATTTAGGAGAGCCCAGCCAAAGGTATTGCCAGCTTGGTAGCCTTGAGACTAGAAATCAATGGAGCAATTGCAAAACCTCTCACACACCTTGTGCTTTTGTAAAGCTGCTTGGTTACCACAGTCTAGTGATTAGTTTCTTTTTCTTTTTTTAAGAAGAGGGATTCATTTAATTTCTTATTTGGTGTGTGTCAGTCAATGATTCCCAGGACAAATTTACGTGCTGAAAAGACAGACAATTTTTAAAACTTCAACTCCAATCCCCTAAGCATGTTAGGAGTACATTACAAGGTTGTAGATGCCTTACTTCTGACAGCCCCAGCTTTCTTCCCTCCCATGTGCACCCCAGTGCTAAGCAAATAAGCCTTTCACCCCAGCAGACTCGATTGTCAGAGCTTCAAGTGTGAAAATAAAGGCCGAGAATAATTATCTAAACGATAATGAAAACTATAATAAGGGGCTCAACCTGATCTTAGCAAGGGAAAACCTGAAAAGAATTATGTGAGGACTGAGGGATTTAAACACACATCCTTAATTAGGCTACCCAGACTTGGCCCACCAGTTGGCTCAGCATTAATTGAAGAGATGATTAGTAAGCAAATAAGATAGTCTGTAATCAAGCTCAGTAAATAATCTAGGGAGCCCTACATAAAGATGAGCCTTTGAGAAGCCACACATTAGCTGCTGATGGCCCATCTTATTATAGTTCTAGGAGGCAGTTTTTAAAACTTATGAGTTGCCCTAATGAGCTGCCAGCTCCTGTGATAGCCCAACACTGGCTACGTTGGGCTTCCAGTCCCATAGGATGCAGCTTGGTACAGAGAAGGAAGTCAGAATCCTTCACTCACTATCAGCTTTAACTGTCTCCTTCCCATGTCAATTTGTCTCTGAAAAGTGCTGGTTTCATTGCTGTTTTGCAGAGGCCTGTCAAGCCTGAGAACCGAGGATGGCTTGCCACACAGCATTTGGAAGTGCTCGGAAAATGATTCTATTAACCTAGGATGTAATTTTACACAGACTTCGTCCTGCTGATAGCTTTTGAGTTTAATTACCTTCACTAAATAATAGAGATTTATAATTTGACAAAGTTTCCAAAATCCTTGTAAGAGAGTTAGAAACAAAGCAGTAATTAGCTTCCTTTCAATCACCCACATATATTTTTTCCCAACAAACATCCACTGTATCCATTCTGGGCAACATGGCACAGGTTGAACAGACCTGAAAAGGGTTCTTTGAAAGGTGGACTGGAGGGCTTGTCATTAAGTGATTGTGTGACTCTGGGAAATCATTTAATTTCTCAGGGCTCAGTTACCTCATCTGTAACACAGGTAGAAGCACTGGGATCAAGATTTTCCTAGCTGGGTGGAACAGTGGAATAATCTTATTAAATTTTAAAAAAGCAGGGTTCCCAGGGTCTCCCCCATACTAACAAATGAGGTTCTGGAAGGGAGTATTGATGTGGGCATTTGGACAGTCTCACGGGTTGTTCTGAACCCCTAGCTTGATCATCACCACATCTAGACTCTCAAGAGTATTTGATTGCTACAGGAAAGCCTGTGATCCTTTCCTATTCTGCTTGTGTTGTAGGACAGATTTAGAGCATTGCTGAGCAGAGATAGGGTTTCCACTTGACCTGTGCTGTTTAAGTTATAGATCTTTTCCCTCCCATAGCCTACCAACACTCTGCAAGGCAACACAGACCATCCTGGTATTTTGAGGACCCAAGAGCTTCATCTTGAGTTGCCTTGAAGGAATAAAGTCAACATTGTATCATACTTTAAAAAATTAATAAATGAATATCTGCCTCTAGCGTTTTTTGCCCACTTTATCAAAAATCATTTTAACTTTCAGGTGTACTTTTCAGAAGTAGGGGCCTAAAGGTGCTAAGTTAGCTGGCCTGTCTCTCTGGGGCCTGCAGAATAGCGTGCCCCCAGAGCAACCTCCCTCTGTCCTGACTGCACAGTGGTTTATTCACGAGGGTGGGAGGAGATGAAGGCCCAGGTCTGGGCCTGGTAGGGACAAGTCCACTTCTTGTTCTAAACATGAGAATCAGAATAGATCAAGTGCGAGTCTTTTAAGGGAATAAAATGTTCATTTGTGATGGGGTGAAAAACTGGGACTTCCAACTGTTAAAAATTCAGGAGTAATAAAAGGAAACCTAGACCCCATTTGGCTGATCAGGCTCAGAGAGAAAGAAAGGCTTGCCCTGTAGTGAGCATATGAGCCCACTCAGGGCAGCTGTAACCTCAGAGCCAGTGCCATGGGGTGTGACCCAGCAGTTATACTGCTCAGAGGGACAGTGCTGAGGGTTCACTGCTTGTGAGCTTGCATTTTTGTCTTGAATTGCTTAATAGTCTTAATCTTTGAATTTGCATTTGACAAGTGAAGTCTGACTGAACAGAGGAGGATGTGTGGCAGGGGGAGCTCTGTCCTCCAATGGTCCCTTGTCTCATCTCTTTGATGCCTCCCTAGGTGGGACCTATGAGGGTCTCAGCATAAAGATATAAAGCAGCTATCTCTGCCTGGAGGCTGCAGTATAATGGTGTATTTTGTGGACACTGGTAGGAAGGTCACCGATCTCGGGTGCTGAGCATGAGGTACAGAAGTTGGGGGTTAGAGGTCCCCTTCTGAGAGCTGGGCCTGCTATCCGTGGGAGGACTGCTTTCTTTTTTGTACAGGCCCCCACAGTAGTTGGACTTTTTTTTTTAAATTTAAATTTAAATTTTTTTTGGCGGAACCGGGGATTGAACTCAGGCCCTTGCGCTTGCCAGGGAAGCGCTTATTCCACTGAGCCATCTCCCCGGCCCCTGTAGTTGGGCTTTTAAAAATTGGCAGAAGTTTTTTGTGATTAAGTTCTAAGGCTTATGAATCTTGGATACTTAGGATTAGTTTTCTGTCAATACTATCATTTGGTGAATGTCTAAATTGCTTTTCTATTGGGATTTATAAATTATCTGAGGTCAGTCCCCAAAGACAGATAAATGCATGTTTAGAGAGGCAGTCTTACGATATCTACAGTGTCTCAGCTTGTTGGCTTAGAAGGACACTTAGTTAGAAGTACGTGCATGCCCTGTTGTGATACTGAATATTATTAACAGGGGAGACAATGGGCAGATGCTGGCCACATGCCTACTGGGCTAGAAGCACATATCTGTGGTCCCATTCAAGCGCCCAGTGAAGGCAGAGGTTGTCCTTCCAGTGGCATCTCTCTCCTCTCAGCCACTTCTTCACTTATAGCTCTTTCCTTACAGGAACACCTTGCATAGCTTTTTAAACCTATTTGCTGGGGATACACATTGTCTATAGTTCAATCTTACACTGTGAATAAGAACTGTGCTGAGTTTGGGGACATTCAGTTGTTTGCAAAGGCAAGAACCTCCCTTTAGTGGCAGAGGAAACACAACCTCCTTGTTCCTTAGACCATACTGGACAATACTAACCTATTCTTTCTTTCCCTAAGAGGTTACAGGCAGCACCATTTTTTTCCTATTGTATGGCTCAACCTTGGTTTTAATGTAATAGATAGCTCCAAATTAATTTCTGTAGAGAAGATGTGTGGGATCAGTCAGCCATTCTTGATAAAGAAATTACTGCAGTGGGGCAAGAGGGATGAGGACAAAAGAAGGGGAAGAGAAAGGAGAACAGGAGAGAGAAGTGGCTTCTTTGCACATTTGGAAACTACAACTGGCTGGAGGTGACTGCCTTTGGATTTTGAAGAATGCTTCTCTCAGCAGAATTTCCTCTGCACGCTCAGAACACTCTCAGGCATGCCTCAGAAAAGCCACCTCTGACTACCCCGCCCTCAGCCAACGCTCTGTACACAGCTGGAAGCAAGTTGCTGGTACCAAACCATTTCTAGAATGTTCAGGATAAGTGCTGTCCTTGCCAAATCAGCCAGCCAAGGAAGCAGGGAGGCATGATGAGAGCCAGAAACTGGAAGTGACAACACTCAGAAGTGAAATGTATGTATTTTCTAAAATGTTTTGGAAAATGTGCTTTTTGTATGCAATGTTCCTATTGAGAAGGTGATAGAACACTGCTGCTTGGGGAATAAAGAACTCAGTGTGGATGGTGAGATGTCTATTGGAACAAGGAAGGAAGTAGGCTAGATGACCACCTCTACCTTGAAGGAGGAGAAATGCTTCTTATTAGTACAATGAAACAGAAACCTAAAGGAACACTTCTTTTTCCCTCAAGGTGAGGAGTGTTTAGAAAAAATCTAAATGGATGAGACATAGAACATAACATAATAAATAATGTATAACTATAGAAAATTAGCCAGAAAAAGAAAGCCAAATACTACATATTCTCTCTTATAAAGAAACTCAAAAAATTGACCTAGAATAGTGATTAAAAGAGGGAGTGTGTGTGTGGCAGGGAGGTGGGTAAAGGCACATTGGATTTCATTAGCATACTGTGTGTGTGTTTATGTCTGTGTGACTATCGTACCGAGTCTCTTTCATATATACAATTCATATATGTTAATCAAGAATACATGTAATAAGAAAAAGCTTGTTTCATATTTCATCATTGTTAATAATAGTAACTGTGACTAATCTCAGACTTATTATTTTAAAAATTCTAGGAGAAATGCTTACTTTCCCCTACTTTACAGTGTAAAAGGCAGGAAAAACAGGGGCTATGTAGTTAGAACATGCCGCCCCTCCCGGGCCCCTCCAGGGCCTAAGTGCCAGCTGTTTACCATGGCTTTGTTGGAGTGGCCACCTCCTTGGAACTCAATGGTCCCAAATGCGTCGGTTGGGCTGAGCTGAGTGTGCTTGCTGATAGACCACTTCTCAGACTGGATGTCATTTCGGGAGAGTCGACTTTCATTTTTCTCATTCTGAAGCACAGAGATACTGGGAGTGAGTCCGACATGCTGGCCTATCAGACGCCCACAGCAACACCTACAACATAAGAAGTGAGAGTGAAGCCCTTGGACTGGCCCCACTGGAATACACACGTACAGCAACCTGTGACAGAAATTGCAATCCATACTGACTCACTTCGGGCACTCATCAGGTGAAATCCCACAACGTGGCTGTAGCAGGCACGTGGTGAGCAGAGGCTGTAGATGGAGCGCTTATCTCCTCTGTCTGTCCCCACCTTCCTTTACTGTTTAAGCTACAACATGCCTCCAGTCCTTCCCCATCCACACCTTTGGCACCCAGAATACTGCTTAGGAGAGGCCAGCTATGAGCAGAGTTCTCTAGATTTTTCTATTCACTCCTCCCATCTGTCAAGTCTTGCCTAAAGGACGCTACTAAAAGGCGCTGAGGGTAGGATTTTAATGTGCACATTTAAATGAGGAATTTCGCTCAGATATGAGTCAGTCTAACTTGTCTCTCCCCAGTTGACGTTCACTGTCAAATATCCAATTCTGAAAATAGAAATCTAAGGGCTTAACTGTTCTTGAAGAAACAATAAAAAAATTCACAAAATATTTGAAAACTGAAAATTTATACCTTCTACCACGCAAATGTCTACATACATTATTCCCACTTCTATCACGATTATTAGGAACAGCAGTTATAGGACACAGTTTATGGAACACTAATAATTTAGCATCCATTTTATGCAGAAGCATTGCAGCTTTGAAAGTTAGGTAATTTTTTCAAGGTTATACAACTAGTCTTGATGGCTGTATGATCTATATTTTAAACTGCTGTGTTAAATTGTCTATTCATAAAGGTATTGCCAGACATAGATGTATGACTGACAGATACAGTGACTTTTTAAATTACAGCAAACTATTAGCAGAAGACATGCTGGCATCAATCCACATCAAATTATTCCCACTTACTTTGAGCATACCTATGCCATTGTTCTTGCCACTTTTTTTTTTTTTTTTTTGGTCTGTTTTTGAGACAGGTTCTCGCTATGCAGTTCAGGCTGGCCTTGAGCTCACTTTGTAGCCCAGGCTGGCCTCAAACTTGAAGTAATTCTTCTGCGTCAGCCCCACTAATGCTGGTAGTACAGGCATGTACCACCACACTTAGCTTGCTCACGCCCCTCTAAAATGCTTTAAAAAGTGGCAAGAATCATAGACTGTGTGTTCAAAGTGAGGGGGAGTATTTTGACAAGAATTAATGGCGAATGTGTTTTTTACTGATAAAAAAAAATCTAAACTGAAATATTTATCATATACTTTATGTCTTTTATTTCAACCCAAATGCTTTCAGCTTTATACAATATTGATCTTTAGGAAGGCAAATAGGCATTAAAGATGTGCCAAGGAAGCCCAATGTGGTGCACATGCCTGCAATCCCAGCACTGTGGGAGACTGAGGCAGGAAGATCATAGGTTCAAGCTCAGACTGGGGCATTTAGCAAGACTTTCTCTAGGGCTAGAGATACAGCTCAGTGCAAAGGGTGCTGGGGCCATGGGTTCAGGCTCCATTACCCCTGAAAAATAATATGAAGCAATCTGAAATTCTACAGTCTCATTGGTAATGTATCAGCAGTCTTTTATTTAAAAGTACCTTGCCTACATGCTTAGAAGAAAAATCAGTAACCATAACAAAAAATATATTTCAATGTCACATACAGAGATTAGTTTCTCTGTAGTGGTATATCAGTTATTTTATACAGACTCTTAGATTAAGAATTAACTCCATGCATATGATTTAATGTAACATAGATATATGAATGATTGCTTCAGAGTGGGGGTGGGGGTGGGGTGGCATATGCCTGTAATCCTAGCTGCTGAGACAGGGGATCACAAATTTAATTTGAGGAAGCATAAGCAACTTAGCAGTCTCAAAATAGAGAAATGAAAAGGGTTAGTAATTTAGCTCAGCACTCCCTGGGTTCATTCTCCTGCACTACAAAAAAGGTTGCCTCAAAAATGTCCAGCAGTACAATTGACAATGGATCCCATACAATGGGCAGTGATCTCTCTTGTAGTCTGGTCCTGTAATTACACTTCCTCACATCTTGATACATTGCGGATAGCAAGATTACCTATGGGGGTCTTTGGTGCTGGGTATGATGTGAACACATTCTCTTTTATAAAATGCTCTTTCTATCCAGGATTTCTGAGCCTGAAAGAGAGAGGAAGAAAAAGATGAGATTAACATAAGCTTTAAGTAGTTTTAACTAGAAAACAAAATTTTACAATTACATAATAGACTAGGATATCATAAGCTAAAATGAAGTTCTAGCTGTTTCATCAAGGTTACGTATAGTAAAATCAATGATTTCTAGAACCTACAAATTGGGTTAACTTTATAATGTTGAAAATTAAAATAGCCATGCTGAGAAAACATTAGTGACAGAGCCATATACAAACAAGATAGTGCTATTTGGAGAGAAAATGACTGTGGGAGGATAGAACATTGTAACTTCACAGAAGAAAAGTATTCAATCATAGGCAGAGACACACCCAAATAAGTGTAACATTTTCATGGCTAATGGTTTCATTGGATTTTTCTTTATGAAGGAAAGAAAAATGGTAGACAAATTATATAACCAGAGAGCCTAGTCCACCATCATGATTTTTCTGACATGAAAATCACATGGAAGATAAGGTTCTCATCACACCCCCAGATGTTACAGATGATGCCTTGGGAAGGTAGGTAGCACCTTTATTGCCTTGTATCCTCCGTACCCTTACACACACATCCAATAACAGCTTCTTAGGATGCGCACTGCGAGGACTGTCCTGCTGTCAAGACTGGGTTTCTGTATGCACAAAGGATGAGCTACAGCAAACTATAGGAACTATAGGAGTTTCGTTAGAG